CTATACCTCCCCAACCTTGTATTTTAAAGGGTTTTTCTTTTTTTAAACTTCAAGGTAACCTTACGTCTCATAACACTGGTTCTCTGTGTAACATTTTCCTTTTGGGACTTGCCTATTAAAAACAGTATTTATTGAGTTCATTTTTTTGTTGAACTTTGTGCTAAGTAATTTTTATTATGTTATTTCATTTAATTGTTAGCACCTCCCTTGTATTTTGAGAAATGTAATAATAGTAGCAGGTGTAGGCCTTATCTGCAAATTTCAGGGCCCTCAAACTTCCTACTAGGGGAAAATGTTTTCTGTCAGTTTTTCAGAGTTGACTCTCTTCTTCAGTTTGTCAAAGTTGTAGAGAGGGTGGCTGGTCCCAGGGGTATCGGTGCACTGATCAAGCTTGTGGTTCCTCCCTGTCCTGGGGGGAGAGTAGTTCTGCTCTGCATTTTATTTATGTGTTCAGCAAACATTCCTTGGCACCTTGCACCCCTTAAAATAATGTTTTGAGTAAATAGGGTTTAGCTGAAATCATAAACTAACCAAACTCACACTGGCTATTGCCCTCCTCAGAGTGCATCTCCCCCATGCCCAGCGACACACCCTTCCTCCCTTTCCTCCAGCAGGGCCAGATTGTAGTGCCCCGTGGCTGCCGGGACTTTGGCTGGGACCCCTGCTTTCAGCCCGACGGATACGAGCAGACGTAAGGAGCCCCAATTTCTTCCAGGGGTGTGGGGTCGGGATGGCCTGGTCTAGGTTGGGTCGTTGCCTCGCCCAAGTGCAGGCATGCAGACATGGGTGGGTGCGGGCTCTGAGGTGCCATTCTGGCTGAAGGCATCTCCGCTGGGATGGACGCAAGGAATCTGGGTGGCCCAGTCCACAGTGGGGGAGGCAGCTGGGCGTAGCTGGAAGTCCTGGGCTCAGGCTCCAGCTCCACTGAGCAGCTGTGTGACTTCAGCGACTTCCCCTCTCTGACCTTGGCTTGTCAGTTTCCTGGGATGATTTCCTGACCCCCATTTAGTTTGGAAAAATGTTAACACTTGTTTAGCCTTTGGTGGGCTCCACACTAAACCCCTACAGTGCCAAGTGTTCTCAGTATTTTATACTAACCCCTTATTTATACAGGACGTGTCGGCCATTATTGGAATCAGGTTTGCCAGGCTGGAGGGGCCCTTAGGGAGCGTGGCCGGGGCCTGTCAATAGCCAGACAGAGCTGAGGACACCATGAAGCAGCACTGTCCAAGAATGCTCTTTGGTGACACAAATGTTATATATTTGTACTGTGCAGTCTAGTAGTCACTAGCTCCATGTGGCTGTGGAGCATTTAAAATGTGGTTAGGGCAACTGAGGAACTGAATTTATCTTTACTCAATCGTAATTGGTTTGTTTGTTTGTTTGTTTATTTATTTGCAGGGGGGTAATTTGGCTTATTTATTTGATGTTTCAGTGGAGGTACTGGAGATTGAACCCAGGACCTCAGGCATGCTAGGCATGCACTCTACCACTTGAGCTACACCCTGCCCTGCCTCAATCGTAAATGGTTTTAATGTGAATGGCCACAGTGGCCGGTGGCATAGTGACATAGATCTCAAAGTGACTTGAGTATGGGATTCTCCCCTCACTGGAGTCCTGACATGGATGGCAGGCCACTGGCCGGCTGTTCAAGGCCACCCCTACCCGCTTCCTGGCCCAGAGTGCATTAGAGGAGATTGCTGTGTTTGGCTCTGTCAGGCCCACTGCTTCCTGTCAACAGATGACAAAGCTCATCAAACATGCAGCTCATCCCCCTGTCCCCAGCTTCCCTTTAATGACTTTTAGACACACTAAAACAAGTTTGATATCCTTCCACATTCATTAATATGGGTTTCTACCTAAAGTGGAATTTAAGACTGTCCAATTTTACAGATTAACTCAGGCTGCCAGAAGCTACCCTTTCCTGGGGACTCTTGAGTTTTGGACTCCAGGTTAGGGTGGGGGGGCTCTAAATCTGAACTGCCTCTTCTCTGAGCTACTGCTGTCGCCCTTTAGGTATGCAGAGATGCCCAAGGCTGAGAAGAACATCATCTCCCATCGCTTCCGGGCCCTGCTTGAGTTGCAAGAATATTTTGGCAGCCTGATTCCTCCTGGGGCCAGTGATGACCACTCTGGCCAGGGATCCAGGGAGGGCTAGCCTGAAACCTCCTCCATCAGGCAGGCACCTGTCTAAGTACTTCCTTCAGAGTTGCCACTTCTGGAGAGTATTACCAGCTGTCTGGAGCAGCTGGCTCTGTTTGGAGAAACTTTGGCCAAGGGCCACCATTGTCTTGTCCTCGGTGATTCAGTGGTCTCTCCTACAGCCTGGGGTCCTGAAAGGACCTTGGGTGTTAAAATTGGCCTGGCAGGATTGAGGGTTTAGGGAAGAACCACACAAACAGCCTTAGATGTCTTTTAAATGCAGCAAATAAAAATTCTGGAAGGTACTTGCTTCCAAGTAAACTGGGTATATCTGCTTTGAAACCTGCCTAAGGCAGGTGTTGGTCTTCTGAATCCCCTTTGGCAGGAGCAGGACACCTTCCAGGTTGGGGAAGGGGGCCCGGGGTTGGGGGTGGGGAGAGAGTGGCCAGACGAGGGCAGTGCTGCATCCAGGCTGTTCTTGGGTCCTTGCTGGCTGGATTATTACCTCTTTCCTTTTGTCCTTCAACTCTCAGATCATGGGCTGACCCTTTCTGTGCCAGATCCGTGCTGTCCACCGACCCATTGAGTGACGCCACCACTCTGCTGGCCTCTATGGTGTCTGCTGTGTTGTGGGAGGGGCAGTGCAGGATGTTGAATGCTTTTGCTTTATTCCGCGTACATTAGAGCAGCTAAAATGCTGGTTTATGATTACAATGCCACGTTCGTTTTTAGGGCTGGGAGGGGGAATGGAGTCCTTGACCCCAGTTGGGTTGACACTCCATGGGCTCTGGGAGGACTGACTCCACTATCCCAAACCCTTACTGTGCCCTGGTGAAGCCATTCTCTGGGAGGGATCTCAGGGACCTGGGGTGACTTTCTTGCCTTTCCTGCATATATTACTCTGGTGAGGAGGAGGTGTCCAACCCCAAGGACCTTCAGAAAAGCCTGTTGTGTGCAGCTGGTGGGCACCCTTGGTGCTGGCGTGTCACTCCCAGTCTTAAGATACGTCCTCTCCAGTCACTGTTCCTGTCTTGGCAGCATGGCCCAGGGCCTGGATTTAACAGTTGTTTCCTCCAGTAAAGTGCATCAGTGCGTGTGGGTGAGGACAGGACGTCATCCCTTTGCTCCCCTCTTGCTTGTGAAGCCCAGCTGGGTTGTTTCCTCAGGAAGCTGATGGCCATGCCCAGCCTCCAGGGTTTTCTCCTTGGTGGGGGTGATGTCTGGCTGGGGCTGTGGCACATGGGGTGCTGGGGGGCCTGCCTGCTCCTCGCCTGGTGATTCTGTATGTGGCCCTAGCTGCAGGGAACAACCAGGCTACTGTGGAGGGGGCCCCAAAGAAGGATCACATGCCATGGGGGTAAGTGGGTACATGGAGCTTGGGGCAGGGTACCCTGTCTCTGATCTTCAGCTGCTTCCTCAGAGTCCTGTCCTGTGTGCACAGAACATGTCCTGTCCCCCTTTTTTAAACTTTAGCTACCCATCCCACAAGCAGCACCATGAGTGTGCTTGTCCCCACCCCTACCTGCCCAGGAACAGAACTGCTTGCCTGGGGGGTGAGGTGCCTTGACTGTGCCCCCATCTCCATGCCCCCATCAGTGCATCAGGGCTCCCATAGCTCCCACTTTAACACCAGCCAGCCAGCCTTCTGATTTTTGCCAGTCTCCTAAGTGGAAGGTGCCGTCTCACTGTTGGGTTGCATTTCTCAGATGACCAGGGTGTTTGAGCATCTCTTGCTATTCCTATTAACATTTTGGGCTTCCTCTTCCCTCCCACCCCCACACCCCACTCACAGCCTTTGCCCCTTTTCTGTTGGAATCAGTGTCTTTCTTTTGGCTGTGGGAATTCTTTGTAAATTCTAGATGGTAGTCCTTTTCTAGTCTTAGAGGTAGCAGATGTCTCTCCTCTGCTCCCTTGGTCTATAGAGCATCTGTCAAGCTCAAATCCTGTCAGGTGATGTGGTAGGGTCTGTGAGCTAGGCGCTCTGTCCACCGCTGCTGCTCTCAAGCTCAGATCCGTATTCCCTGAGACCTGCTGCCACTGTCATGGACCCTGGCCAACCACCCAATGGCCACGCCAGAAACATGGCACCTTCTCCCCTCTGTCAAATCCTCCATCCCCAGTCATTGCCCTGATGCAGGAAGCAGCCCCACCCCATGTCTCATACATTACAACCTAGAATCCACATAGTAGACAAGATAGTTCAAAACTGCCGCTCTGGCCCCCACACACCTATTTTCAGTCTCCTGTCAGGCTGCTCTGCAGAGGCCTCTTGGAGTCAGGGCCCTTCACCATCAGCCCTGCGGATCTATCTATCTCCAGTCACTGGGCTATTCACTAGCCCCAAGCCCTCTTGGGGCCCTTGCACCTGCTGTTCCGAGAACACGTCCCCTGCAGGTTCCTGGCAATGTGGCAGCACAAAGTCCTCCTGGATCTTCCATGTTCCCTGTTGGGCCAGCATCTACTTGGTGGAGTTGGAAGTAAGAGCCCTCAGACGGCGCTCAGCAAACCTCAGGGCTCTCAGGTGGCCTTCAGAGGCTGGGGCAGGGCAGCAGGGATGGAGGTGGCAGGTAGAAGCATAGAAACAGGAGCTTTATTCTCTAATGCGCACACAGCAATTTCCTTACACAATCAAGGAAATGGTTTCTCTTTCAGGCATCTGACTCTTTTATCAAAAGAAAATCCGTCCTGCTTAGTCCCACCCTGGGCAGAAGCTGCCCTGAGCAGTATTCTGGACCCAAAGCAAAAGGCTAGTGGGAGGGGAGCAGACACACACCACAGAGCCTCCCTGATGCCCAGATGCCCTAGGCTGGTTGGGGCAGCTGTGATGGGGTGCAGCCCAGAGCAGCACCCCAGAAGATACCCACATTTCCCCACACATAGCCACAGAGCCAGCCTGGGAAGAGCCAGAGGGATGGACGAGTGGGGTGTGGCCAGGGCCTCAGTGCTCAGCATCCATGGCGTCCAAGTACTTGGCTTCAATGATTCGGGGCAGCAGGTTGTAGCTGGAGGGGGGGGGGCAGGGAGACGAGCATGGGGTCAGAGAGGAGCAGGCAGTGGGCACCCGCCCCAGCCCGCCCCTCTCCTGCTCAGCTGAGTCCTTCCTGCCTTCTGTCTGCCCTCGTACCGGATGGGGATCATGGCAATCATGATGAGGGGAAAGATCATCTTCATGTAGGGCAGGGGGCTCATGCCAAAGGCACAGAGCAGCAGCAGTTGCAGGACCTGCAGGCCAGTGAAGTAGTGGATCTTCCTCTGCGGCACCCTCCGGATGTAGTGGGTGGGTGGGTATGAGGTCTACAGGTGGCAGGGACCAGGTGTGGGCAGGTCAGGAGCCGCATTCCCCCTCCCACCCGTCACTCTCAGGGCAGCCGCTCACCTGGTCCTTGAGCAGCAGGGCCATGCGCGTAAATAGCTGGTTGCCGTCGATGGAGGTGACGGCGATGTAGAGGAAGAGGCCGTAGAGCACAGGCTTGGGGATCCACTGCAGTGGGAAGGGCAGCAGCAGGAGGGAGAAGCCCACCAGGATGCTGGCGCCCAGGGTGGTCAGCCGCGTCTCCTTCACGTTCACGATCCTGCAAGGGCCCAGTGCCCCGGGTCGCCTCCAGCCCTGCTCCACAGGGCCATGTGGGCTTCCCAGGCTGTGTCACTTCTGGGCCCTGGTCCCCTAAGCTATAGCCCTCCTTCAGTCCCATGTGGCTCAGGGCCAACCCCACCTCAGGGTCCGTGTGAGTTGCCTCACATCTCAAGTGGCTGCTCCCACACTCACGTATCATGAATGTGCCCGTGCTCCACACGCTCCTCCACCAAAGCCAGCGCCCGCACGTGCAGTGGGGAGTGGGGGTAGGCAGCATGGATCCAGGGCAGCCCGAACAGAGACAGCCCGCTGTTGATGATGGCGATGAGCAGGAGGTCCCAGTGGTAGGCGGTGCCCTTCACCAGCCTGCGGCAGACAGGGGCAGGTGTGGACAGAGCCCCGTCGGCCCCTGGAGGGTGGGGCACGTGCTCACCCAGCCCTGCGAACCTGTTTTCTGGGGCGTTAGCCAAGGCAGCCACCAGGTTCTGCTCGATGAAGAAGAGCATGGAGAGGAGGAAGCCAAGGCCCATGGCGCTGCTGATGGCCGTCAGGGACAGCGAGCGCATCTCTGCCATCCCAAACAGGTCCTCGCTCGGGTTGTAGCGAAACTTGCTCACTGTTGCCGGGTACAGGCCCTTGCTCAAGCCTGTGTGTCCTCCACACCTAGAGCAACCCACCCCACCCCACCCTACACCTGGCCCCAACTCACTCTTAATCTCCTTGAAGCCGTAGGAACCAATCAGGGAGAAGGTGAGAACTGAGATGGGGAGGGCACAGTCGGACAGGATCTCACGCACACGGGGGTGCAGGTAGGGGCTGGGGAGAGGTGGGTCTGTCAGTGCGGCCTGGGAGCTTGTGCTCCCTGCCCCCACTCGCAGGCATCCTCACCTCTTCTTGAACTGGTAGAGAGTGTAGCTCAGCCAGAGTGTGCCCAGCATGAGGAGGAGGCTGAGCACGGCGGTGTCTCGGGCCGGGGGCTCGGGGGCATGGTTGCCTACTGCAGTCAGCTCTGGTGGGCCAGCCAGGAGGCTGGTGTTGAGGGCAGTGTGGAGGCTGGTGTTGAGGCTGGTGCTGAGGCCCAGGAGGTTCGCTGGGGCAGCGCTATCTTTATACTCGTTCCTGAGGTGGTGGCCATAGTAGTACTTCTGGAAGACTGTGGACACAGGACAGCAGGACTCAGCCATCCAGACTCTGGGATATGGACCCAACAGCTTCCTCCAGGATGTAGGGTGAAGGGGCCCAGAGGAGGGGAGGAGCTGATGGGAAGAGCTGGCCTTCTGTCAGCCAGGACCCCTTGACCTACCTGTCAGCCTATCACCCCACACCCTGCCCTTGTCCCTGGGCTCCGTCTTTGACCGTGGATCCCATCCAGTCTAGTGCTCTGAGCCTGCCTGGGGAAGCTGTCACCTTCCAGCACACAAGGCTGCTGCTCTCTGCCAGCCCTGGCTCCTAGAGCACCCTGGGCCAGGAGAGCAACCTTGGCTTGCGTGCTTCTTGGCTGTCCTGACCACAGCCTGTAGCCCCCCATCTGAACTCAGCTCCTTCTGCAGCAGATGGCCACTGGCTTTACACTTACTTTTGACCATGCCCTTGACAGCATCCAGCACGAACGTGATGGAAATGAACAAGGCAATGATCTCCTCCGTTGACCTGCCAGCGGGAGAGAGCCCTCATCAGGTGGGGGGGTGCGGGGGAGGTTTCCCTGAACCTTGACATGGCCCCTGCCTCCTACCATGAAGAGGACCAGGGTCCTAGCTCTCCCCTTAGGGCAGTAACATGGTAGGGGCACCCCGTCTGCTCTAGGGTTACAGTGCTGCAGAGGCTGGCATGGAGGCTGCCCCAGATCCCTGGCCCTGGTCTCCCTCATGCTTGAGAGTTCCAGCGGCCCAGGAAATGTCCTGTCACCTCTTGAAGAGACTCATAACCAGGCTGAGGTTGAAGATGGCATAAAGCGTGAGGAAGAAACTGTTCCACAGGCCTGTCCATGCATAGAAGGTATTGAAGTCCAGGTTATAGTCGTCACAGATGCCGCGGATCACTGCAGGCAGCAGGACAGGAGTGAGCAGTCAGGACTGGACTGGGGCCAGGGACCTTGGGAACCACTTCCCCGTGCCACCCCCACTGCACCATGGATGTAGAGGGCCAGAGGCGCGGTTGTGAGAAGCACCACCAACGGCTGCCCGGAGAAAAGTGCATACAAGAGGCCTCCAATGCTCTGCCCAGCCATGGTCTTCTGCACATCTGAGGAAGCGGGTGGTCAGGGGGGCACTGCAGCCCCAGATCCCACCCGGCATGCCCCTCTAGCCTCCAACCCCTCACCAATGGCCCCGTTCGTGTTCTCATCGTTGAGGGACCCAAAAGCGATCGTGGGCAGGAGGCAGGCAAAGTAGAGGAACAGGGTGGTGGTGATGTATTTGCCCACAGCCTTGTTTTTCCCGATAATGCCTAAAAGTGGGAGATGGGATGGAAGGTGTGTTAGGGACACAGGACAGGCACACATGTTATCCTGAGGCCTGAGCTACGGGCGTAGCGCCGGGAGGGCCACGGGGCCATGTACCGTCAGTGAAGTCCAGCGGGTATACGGACAACCTGCGGGCGATGTCCTCACGGATGCCCTTCCCCACAGGGAGAAAGTCTGTGTGCTGCGGGGGCTGGGAAGAGGACACACAGCTGTCAGCCGGGTGACCCATGCCCGCCCGCCCAGACCACCTCTGCCCAGTACCTGTGAGGATCTGTGGGTGTAGATGGTGCTCTCTGTGCTGATGCTCGAACACTGCCTCGTTACAGTGAGCAGCTGTCTCTGATGTACCAGGGCCTCCTTGAATTCCTCCTCCGTGTGGGTCTTCAGGAGCTTCTGGCGGAAAGTGATGTCTAAGAACATGGTGGCAAATGTCCGTCCCACCTCCGTCGCAGTCTTGGTGCTTTTCTGGGAACAGGGTGGGAGAATCACACCTGCGGGTGCTATAGAGCAGAGGGCGCCCCGGGCCGGCCCTGTCCTGCCCCAGCCCTGGCCACTCGTGGACACGTGTTCCTAAGCAGGCAGCAGGTGCCCTTCCGTGAACTGGCAGCAGATTTAGTCCCCCGAAGTTCAAGCTCTAGTGGACCCTCCCATGATTTCCAGGTTAGCAAATCATCAGAACTACCATCAATCTAGTATTTTTCTTATAAACTCAGGTATTAGATTTGTCCTAAGGAATGCAAATCTCTGTAAGCGTGATAATGAAATCATGACGGTGGAGAAAAATGTTCACTTAGCTACTTTTCACCAGGGGCACTTGCACTGTCTGCCAGTTTATCTGATTTTCAGAGGGCTTCCCGGCCCATCCGGCCTTCTCCCTCTTGCCTGGCCAAGGTCTGTGAACTCAGTGTCCAGCCTCCACCACAACAACCTGTCTCACTCCCCAGCCTAGGTCCCTGGGGAGTGGCATCTGCCCCTTCGTGCTGTCCGGCCCCAGGGTGGCACAGCACACACTGTGCTTTTTTGTGAGTTTTAGAACACGCTTGTTCTCCCAACGAGGAGCCAGGCATCAGGACAGCTGGCCTGTCTCAAGGCACCAGTATCGCCATGCAGCTCTCAGGATTCTGCTCCTTCCAACCGTTCTGGCCTCCTTGTCAGCTGTTACTCCCTCTGACCCATGAGCTGCCCACGGCTTCCTCTCTTTCCAGCACATGGCAGAGATATCCCAGGAAGAGGGCAGGGTCACCTGGAACCCTCCTTCCCAGGAAAGAGAGCCACCTGAGACCCCCTCCTTACCATCTTGGGTGGTGCCAGCACAAGGATGACGAACCGCACCTCGCAAGAATTCTCCCCCCAGTTCTGCGGGCGAACCAGGCGGCTGATGCACACGTGCCGCTTCAGCAGGGCCTTGTAGGTACAGCTGGCAGGAACGGGGAGGGAACACGACTCACAGCTGCCACCCTTGGGAACTGGGGCTCCCCCTCCCCCAGGCTCCTAATTTTGAACCCAGTGACCTCTGCTAGGGAGGAAAGAAAGACCAAATCGAATGGAGTGCTCACTCTGCCCCGTAACTGAGTGCGCCTGCCTCTAGAGGGAAACAGGTTGCCTAGCTCCAAGGTGGCGTATGGGGAGGCCAATTATGGTGGCCTGGCAACTCACATAATGCAGAGCCACGACTGCTGGTACTGGACCCCTGTGACTGTGGCAGTGACCCCTTGAATGGTATCCGACAGCAGGTGAACTGCTGACAGAGTGGAGGAGACAGGAGGGTCAGGTGGCCCACCTCCCTGACCTCCCGCCCAGGCAGGGGACAGCCCTTACCTTTACCCTCCATGGGGGCCCCGGCATCAGTGAAGAGCATGGCCATGAGCACATCCAAGTTGCAGTCAGGCTCGGTATTGTGGGGGTCATGGGCCAAGCGGCACAGCATGGCCCGCAACACATCATCCAGGGAGGTGGCCGTCTCATTCAGGATGATGCTGGCCCGAGCCAGGAAGCCATCTAGGTCCCGGTGTGCACGGATCTCTTCCTCAAAGTTCTTTAATTTCAGGAACTGTGGGGACCCCACACACAGAACCACATAGGCCCATGAAAGTGACCTGCTGTCCCTGACTGGGCCCCTCCTCTGTGGTGGTCCCTGGCTGCCCGTGCCCACCGGGACAGCACACCCCTTCCAGGAAAGATGCCCAGCATGGCTGGTCCTGGCAGCTGGGCCCTGGCTAGCATGAGATCCCTGCAGGGAGCAGTGTGAGCTACCTCAGGGAAGCAGCCACTGCCACCCTCCACTAGTGGCCAGGACCAAATGTCTGCCATCCGGATGGGGGAGTGCTCACCTTGCGAGAGGTGTGGAGGAGCCCGGAGCCACGAGGCAATTCACTCTCTGCCAGAGGAAAGCGGGAGGGCTCAGGGTGCCACCCCACCCCTTCAGGTCTCTCCTGGTAGAGTAGGGCCATACCTGCCCAGTCCCCAGTCCCCTGCACGACCCCGGCCTGTCCCTGCTACAACCCCCATACCAGACTGGCTGGGCTGCACCTCGAGGTTGACGTTGACAAAAAAACGCACGCTGTCGCCAGACACAATGGAGGAGTTGACCGTGTCGAAGGCCTCATCCCCCAGGCTCGCCTCACGGGTTTCAGAGGCATCATCCGTGTCACACTTGAGGTAGCCTGGAGACCCAACCACCACCGAGAGAGACACCCCCAAGAGGGCCTGGCTGTCAGTGCTATGCATCAAAGAGAGGAACTCCAAGCCAAAGGAGCAGGGGCCTCTAGGCTGTCCCCTCAGCGCATTCTCGGTGAGTGGTGAGGGAGGCCTGCAGCGGGCCAGGAAGGAAGCCTCCAGCCCAGGGAGAACGAATATCTAGTCCTGGCCCAGCCCCGTTCAGAGTATGGCGGCCAGCTGGAGCCCCCACCCCTCCCCCCACCAGCCCCCCGGCTTGCTCCAGTCCTCAGCTGCAGGAACCAGGGCCCTGCACTGCTCTGTGCCACGCGTACCCTTTAGCTAGAGAAAAACACATTCATTCCACAAACTCTGGGCCAGGCACGTGGTCCAATGACATAGTTAAGACTGACTGACTGGCTTCTGCCTTCCCAGAATTGCCAGGTTACAGGACCTGGACTGGCTGGCCCCTTAGAAGTGACCCAAGGGAAGCCAGAGTCCCCGCAGCATCCAGACCCATCCACCCCCCACCATGCAGGCACAGGGTCTTCGAGCTCTTCCTCCCAGGGAGGGCACGCGGGGCAAAGCCTCAAGGCTGAGAGACCCAGTTCAGACATCAGATAAGGCCCAGGAAGCAGGAAAGCTAGCGAAACAGAGCCAGGGACAGACAGGGGACAAGACCCCCAGAAGGAGGCTTCATGTCAGGCCTCCACCCATGTGGTGAGGGACTCCAGAGCACAGAGCCTCCTGCCCCTTTCTCTTGGCCTGCCTCTCAGTCCCTGCAACTGCCCCAGAGCAGGGACTGCCCCTCCTATAGGAAGCCTTCCTAGTGACATGCAAACTTCCAATCTGCTCTGAATCCTGCTGGTGCTCCCCACAGCCTCTCCTGGAATGACAGTCTGAGCCAGCCCTGCTACCCCATCCTGGCCCCTTGGGCCGAACTCGACTCCCCACCTAAATCTCTCACTCCTGAGGCCAGGTGGCTGGCACCCCAGGTGCCAGCTCCTCTCCTCCAAGCTGAGGACTTCCCTCCCTGGTCTCGAAAGAACCTTCTTCCTCCTCTGCCAGTCCTCCTAGGGCCCTCCTTGTCTTACTCTTTGCCCAGCTGACACCTCTTTCTGACTGTCCTTCCTGTGGGTCTCCTGTGGTACACCACTTGTAGGTGCTCCCAGGAAAGGGACCTCTGTAGCCCAGACCCCACCAGTGCCTGACAAGCACCTGTACAGGCACAGGGAAGGGTCAGCAGCATGCCTCCACCTGCCAGGCAGTGACTCACACTGACTCACTTCCACTCCATCCCGCTGGTTTCCTCTGCACATCCCAGGCCCTGTTCCCCCAATGTCCTGTGCTCAGCCTGGGCCCTTTCTAGGTAGGAGGTGCTAGGCCTCCCCTCTCAAGGCCCTCATGGACTGGTGTCCCCTAGCTCCAGGTCTGCACTGTACCCATGGCCCAGAGAAGAACTATTAAGTCAAAAGATGTTCTTCCCCATTTGTCATAGAGCTCATGTCCATGAAAAATGCCTTCCTCCCCAATTCCAGGCCTTCTTTGCTTAGACTACTTAGTTCCCCAGCCCCAACCTGTCCCAGTCTCCCTTCTGTCCCCCGTGCCAGCACCCACTACTCCCCGGCCTGCCCCTCACACTGCCCCACTCCTCCCCTACCCTGGGCTCTACCTAGGACCTACCCAGTGGATGCTACCAGGTCCTTGCAAGGTTCCTGGGATGCGGTGCCCCACCTCCATCCTATAGGCCCCAAACATACCTAACTGGCCCACCTGCGGCCTGGCACATTCAGTCGCCATGCCCTGGGGACCCTAGATAAGAGCACATCACCACTCTGTCCAAGCATTGCCCCACTGAACACCCCTCTGATGATCAGGCCAGCTCCCAGGTCTGGGCACAGGAGAGGCAGCACAGAGCCCACCCAGAGATACATGGAGGGAGAGAGCTCGGCTGGTGCAAGCAGGAAAAGCTGAGGTACACAGAGGTTGCATTTCTTTAGAGGGACAATGGCAGCCCCTCCCTCACAGGGCTAGGCTGGAACTGAGGGATTTGGGCATATATATAACACTTAGCCTAAAAGCTGATCAGATAACCAAGACATTGTAACAGCAAACCATGGGGGATAACAGATGGTCCACATAGCCAAGGATGGGGAGCAGCCTGCCTTCCCAGGACTACAGGACCACCAGAGACCTGCCAGTATCCAGGGCAGTGTCAGCTGCCCCTCTGACCACACCACAACCTCCTGGAGGGCAGGACACAAAGGCATCCCAGCACTGGCAGAGGATCAGGAGTACCCAGGTGGATGGACCAGGTCCCCTAGAGACTTTTGATCAAGGAGCTTTCTCTATATATACATCCACACCTGAAAGATACTCACCTGCATCCTCAAGGCATCCATTCTGAGACATCACAGAATTTTCTGCAAGGCAAGCCAAAGACTGTCACTAGCTCCATGGACCAGCTCTGGACAGTCGCCTATGCCCATCTGCTGCCCCACTCACACCAACCCCGCTGAGGCCTTCTTACCCTTCCCAGAGACCCTGGGAGAAAAAAGAGCAGGGGACAGTACTAGACATGGGCCCCTGGAGGAGCCAGAGGAAGCCAAGCCTGTTATTCGTCAGCCCATCAGCTAGGGGCTACCCAAGTGGGAAAGGACCCAGGCTGGGAGATGTTCTCAGCATGTTTTCTCCAGGAGTAATTGACAGTACCCGGTGAAAAAACGAAGGATTCGCTGGTTGTATTAGTCTCGAGGGTGATCCGTCTGGCTGCCCTCCCTGTAGCCTGCCTCCCTCTCTCAACTCCTCGCTGCCGAGCCCAGTAACTGGGCTGTCCTTCCAGCACATCTCGGCTCTCATTCTCAAGTTGGTCCCTGGCATCATCAACACCCATCATATGTGCAGTCACCCCCAACCTCATGTGCTCAGAATCACGCCAGGGCTGATCCCGCAATGACCTTCCTCCCTCAGCGCCACCCATTTTCCTGGCCTCCTGGGAGGCGGAGCCGTTGGTCTTCATGGTAGATGGGGCGGTGGGGGCTGTGCGTACTCCTTGCGCGGGACCCTGGATGGTTCGCGCTGTGCGAGTAAGGAAGCGACAGGAGGAGCCGCGTGCACGAGGAAGGCGTCTCTAGACTCGGAGACCCTGGGGGTGGGGGGCAGGATGCGGACCGACTCGCGAGGAGAGCAGGAGCCCAGGCTGCCTCCGGAAGGGAGGGACGAGGGCAGTAAAGCTAGCACGGGAGGGTTCAGGGATGGACAGAGGACGAGGGTGACGAGGGTACAGAAGGGTGGGGTTGGTGCACACCCTACTCCCATGCCAGGCGCTTCAAGTGCACGTGCAAACTCCGGTTTGGCCCTCAGGTGTCAGAGCGGCCAGGGAGAGACTACTGCGGCCGCGCAGGGGACAGTCAGGGGCCTCGGGGACCCCAAGAGTGTGCAGGCTCCCGCGCAGAGCCGAGGGTGGGAAGGTGTCCGGCAGAACGTAAAATGAGGCTTTCCCAGGAGCGGCGTTCCCAGATGCTAAGAGCCCGACGCTCGAGGTGTTTGGGACCCCTCAAACTCCGCCTAGCCATTTGCAAGCCGCTCACCCCTCCACCGGCTACCTTGTAGGTTCAAAACCTGTTAAGTGATTTTAAACGGCTATTGCAGAGTGTTAAGTCAAGCACGCAGTGCCCACAAAGCCGTCCTGGGCCTCCCTCCACCACCTGCATACCCACCGGACGCCCACTCCCTCGCGGCCTAACTCACCCCGGGCGCCCCGCCAGGGCGGGGAA